ATTATCTTAATTATATTTTAAATTTTTTATATTTAAAATAAAATGTTTATCCAATATTTGATTATGTTTATCTGTAGTTAGTTACGAATTAAAGCATGAATCTTTAATAAGTTGTACATATACATTATTTACTTGTTATCTTGAATTTTAAGTAATATGCATCAATAAACAGTACTTTATGTATAAAAAAAATTGTTTTTATGAGTTTTTGTCAAATGTTTTATAATATAGTATAGATAAGATACGTTTAGTTAATTAATTACTATTTCAATTTTCGTGTATCTATGTAGGTCAATAATTCATAATTACTCTGCTTGAATTAGATGTTCATTTTTAATACTTATAATCAGGTGTTAGGGATTGTTTGATAGTTGTTGAATGGTTTGGTACAGAATGATTAAAAGACTCTCGTAATATAATACAAAACGAAATATATTTATTTGATAATTGTTTATATTGAAATTAGGGCGCTGAATGATTTAAAAATACTCAAGATATAAAATCATTGAGAGGGTAATGAAAAATAAAAAGAGATTCGTTTGGTTGATATTTGGTAGGTATAACTTAATCAAAGGAGGTTGATTTACCCCTTAATTTGAACTTTAATATCTTGAATGTTAAAGAAAATTAGATTCATTTATTTTTTTACTGAAAGAAATAATTATCTGGGATTTTTTTTGAAGTATATAATATTTATATACGGCGAATGCAACAAATAAACTCACACACCCTCCTCACCTATGGTGAGGTTTGAACCACTGACCTCCTAGAAGGCCAAGGGCTACGAGTTTTATTCCTTCTCCGAGATGAGAGAATTTTTTTTATGCACGGATGGGAGTTTGACCCGACCGCAATAGATACTTAGTTGAGGATGATAATTCTCCTTAGAATCGGTTTTTGGGATTAGTGATGGGGATACACTGTCTCTACATCAAAGTGAATTTTTGTATGTTGTTAATTCATGCATATTTCATATTACGAAAATGCTTCAGATCATTTAACGTCACGACACATCAGATTATTTAACGTCTCAAACTAACATTGTTAATTTAAGGGATCATATTGTTAAAAGTGACTTCTAAAAAAGGAGAATTGCTCAAATAGGCGATATACATTATGGTATTTAACAAAATAGTCATTTCCAGACGTATTTGCCCAAATACTATGTCCTTTCGCCAATATTGGAGAAAATACTATGGGATCCATTGAAATTAAAGCAACCAATAAGAAAATGACACCTTATCATGATCCAACACCATTAATTTATGTGGACCCCATCGTTGACACAACGCTGCGCCTCAAATATAATCCTAAAATCCTACATCTTCACATCTTTATGGGTTGATATATTACTAAGTAATATTTTCCTAATAGTCACACGTCTATTAAGTCGTGGACGAACTTGAGGACCAATCGAAGCACACTAACAAGACAAAATTTGTATCCGATAACACGAAAATATAATTATTCCATATGTGTGTTCTTTGAAGAGACCTGTGTTGGAAATAATGTCCAATATCACAAGTGAATTTAGTAAATAAATTCCATAAGCCTATCGAGGCTACACACTTGGCCTAAATTGAAAAGTAAGAAACCTTGGCGATTGATTTTGTTAATCGTTAATAGTTAACAATTAATTAGTAAATAATAATTTAATAATTTATTTTGATAAATTATGAATTATTTAATTAACTAAACGATTGGTTAATTGCTAATGGGTTTTAAATATGCTTAAAGACGTTTTAGAAGCCCGTTAGGGATTTAAGTCCAAATCATAGGTATTTAAACCTAACTAACTTAGAGATAAGCACATAATTAAAACCATAAGCAAAAATCGCCCCTCCCCCCCTCTCTCTCTCTCTCTCTCTCTCTCTCTCTCTCTCCCTCCATCTACGGCCGAACTCAAACCCAAGGGGTTCTTGAGGTCGATTTTGGTGCTCCAACATGAAATACAATTATACGTCGTTATTAAAAATAAATGAAAAAATAAAAATATAACACAATTACAATAAACAATTACGCAAAGTAGATAATCAAACGAAAGTTAACAATTTATAGATACAAATTAAACGATTACATGTAAATAATTAGACAAAACTTGACAATTTACAGATTCAAATTAAACAATTATATTTAGATACTCAAACAAAATCAAAAAATGCATTTTTTTAATAAACCAAAACACTATCAATTACATTGAAATAATAAAAAACATCTTTTAAACAAATACATAAACAATCTGAAAAAAACGGATTTAATTTTTTTTTAATCAAATTACCCCATTATCCATTTTTGAAGATGGCAGTGGTGGGAGATGGTGGACAGCGGTGGGAGACGATGGACAACAGTGGGAGACAGTGGTAGACGATGATGGTGGGAGGTGGTGGACGACAGTGGGAGACGGTGGAGGGAGGTGGTGAACGGCTGCTGGAGAGAGTGCAAGACGAGGGACGGCGGTAGATGGTGGACGACAGAGTAAAAGTTCTTGGTTGGTTGGGAGTAAAAAACTACTAACGATCATCCCTCCTATTTAATAAAGCAAAAAAAAAATGGGGTATATTGATTTTTTTGGGGGTATACTAAAAATAATCTGAGTATGTTCAAAAGGTGGTCAAAACAATAGGAAATGTGACATAAGCCGGTTGGGTGGACAAAGAGGTTGGTCAACCGTGGTTAGCCTTGGGCCCCACAACATTTTCACCAACGACAAAAATTTGTTTTGGCAAAACACATGTCGAGTTCGGTTGTGGAGACGGTGTCGTGTCTGGTGGTGGAGTCCACAAATAGTAACGGTGTCAGATCATTATAAGGTGTCATTTTTTTATTGGTTGTTTTAATTTGAGTGGGTCTAGTACGTTCTCCGATATTGACGAAAATGATTAGCAAAAAGACATGGTATTTACACAAAATACGTATAGTACATATCAACTATTTAAGCAATTCTCCCTTTTGAAAATGGGATATTCACCAAAATGACCAAAATATACTTGATATATTAATAAAATAGCCAACTTTTACCAAAATTGTGAAAATACTCACACGGATCGCCTAGGGGGCGAGGTTTGACCATGGGACGATCCCCCTTTCTTTGATAAAAAAAAGTACAAAAAAATATTAGAAAATCAATTTGGTAGGTCCACATGCATCACCTTTAGGAAATCAAACATTATTTGCCTCAAAATACCCCGGGGGTCGATTCATCAAAATTGAGACAAATAGTGTTTGGTTTCCTAAAGGTGATGTATGTGGGATCCACTAAAATGATTTTTTAATATTTTTTTGTAATTTTTTGATCAAAGTAGGGACTAATAAATAGGACATAAACAAAATTTATAATTTAATCTAAGAAATAAGAATAATGAAAGTCCGTCAACATTTTGTTGCATTTAATGTATTTTTTTTAATTTAATCAATTGTAGCGATTAATATATTATAATTAAAATCATAATAAATGCAAAAGCAAAGGGGACAAGGACCCACCAGCAGCGTTGCGGGGGGCATGTGAGGTGACCTGTCTCTATCTAATTGGTCCACTTGTTTCCCTTTCTTTTTCTTTTCTTTAATCAAAAGTCCTTTCCCTTAATAATTGAATCCATTTTATATCTATATATATATATATATGTAGAGGGATGTTATTCTACACCATTTGCCATTCTTACACCCTATATAACCCTCATCTCAACCATTCAATTTTTAATCAATTAATTGTTTCATAATATAAAGTATTAATCATAATTAATAAATTTTATTCATATTCCATAAATATTCAAATTATAATAAATGAACTTCAATCATTTTTATAAATATCTTAATTAATTGGGTTGCAAAGGTTGTATAAATGCACAAGGTTGTAAAAGAAATATACCCTATATATGTATCTATATATATATATACACTAGTGGCATTGCGAGTTAATCATAATTCTAAAACATTAGTTTAGTCTT